GCGAGAGAGAAGTGAGAGAGACAACAAGGATACATCAATTTGACAAATTCTATTACTTTAACTCTCACTATATTCCTCTTCTGAAAGAACTAAACAAAATATTATAAGTAATATGTAATTTCGAGTATCCGATACTTCAAAATTAAGTATCCGATACTTCAAAATTAATAAAAAATTAATTAAGAAGTATCTGATATTTTTAAGAAGTATCCGATACGTATCCGCGAGTATCCAAGGAATATCGGTATCCGATAAGTATCCGATACGGATACGTCACCCTTTTTGAAGTATCCGTGCTTCATAGGTATATGCCTAATACAAAGCATACTTAGCCAACAGCCATCCATGAAATAAAGACAAAACACACCAGACACAAATTAAAAAAAACATATCAAATTAAAAAAACAAACCAGACACAAACCGACACTTTCAACTTGGTGAAACTCACATGTGCCATATTCTTGGCTATAGTTTTCACGTTGGTTCCACATTATTATTTCACACCTTTTTTTACAGAAGTTCCATTCACCATGAAACAAAGACACAACACACTAAACACAAATTGACACTTTCAACTTTGTGAAACTCACATGTGTCATGCATATACTTCCTGGCTATAGCTTTCATGTTGGTTCCTACAAATTATTATTTCACACCATTTTTCCAAAACTTCCCTTCACTATCTAACTTGGTGGTAAGATTAGCCAATTGACTTGCCTCCCTTACCATCTGGTCGATCAACATCAAATGGGTAATTGTGGTGAGAATTGGTGGATGATGGATCAGTTTTGGATTTACCGAAACTCTTGTTTGTATCATCTTCGTTGCTAGTTGGAGGCTCGGACATAGTGCTGGTTTTGTTTTGTTTTGTTTTTTTTTATCAGAAAAGAAAGAGAGAAACTTTATTGATGAGATGAGCAAGTACAAGCATCAAGATACATCAATAAAGGAGGGAAGTGCAAAAAATATCATAGCTAACACTCCAAAATCTCAATTAAGTTGGCACCAAGGAGGAAGCACAATCATCTGTTAGCACTAAGCTCACAGATTGGCGAGAAACCAATTCAAAACAGAGAACAAAACAAAAGAGAGAAATAAAAACCACCCTGCCACAGCAAACTCTCCAGCAATTTATAAAGAATACACCAGCAAACTCCTATCCACAACAACATACACTAAGAAATTAACACCGAAGAAAGCAACAAACAGCACCAAGAATTGCAACAAGATACGGAGTTATGCATCAGAACATTGCAAAAACAGAGAACAAACCAAAGAAGATGCTTCCTGCTGCCCTATGCACCCTATCAGATTCCAGCCAAATGCCCAAATTTACTCTTAGTGACAGATCCCATAGTGCTAGTTTTGTTATCCGTATCTTCTTCAGTTATTTTATTTTCAACTGTAGTACCCTTATCGCTAGGACCAATCGTAGCCTTTCGATTAATAGTTGCATCACTTAGAAGCTGACGATTTGTAAAGGTGAGCCTTTTTGCAGTGGCAGCTTCGAGAGCTCCAAGGATCACAACTAGGGTTACAAAGAGTAACAGCAAGGTCTTCATGATCGAATTGTTGCTAACCCTGAAAGAAGCTTAGATATGCATTAAGAGAAGTAGTTCAAGTAATGAATCTAAAAATGAAAAAATAATAATAATAAGAAGACTAGGGTTACAACACAATTTAAATAAATAAATAAAAACTAGGGTTACAACACTTACCTGCTTTTCTGTGTACGGAAAAATGATGAAAGAATGAATTATTATAGGGTTGCATTATATAGATGATTAAGGTCACACTGTATTTGCATTATTTAGTGGAAGCAAACAGAGAATTATATTAATAATTAGCACCACCATTGGAGAGGGTAGTGTAGCCACCAAAGGAGTAATCATGATTAAGATTGATAATAAGAATTTATTAATGTTAACTTTCAATTACATAATACTTAAGTTATTAATAAAATCTGTTGTAAGATTTATTAATTTATATTAATATTTTCCTAGTCAACTAAACTGTTAACCCCTCACGATGAGGCGTGGACTTATATGTGGTGTGGAGCTCACTTCTAGTTGTGAGGAGGGTAGTGATTTACGGCTCGTTTGGGAAAATATTTTTTTAGTAATTTTTTAATTTTTTAATTAAAATATGATTAAAAACAAACTTAGTATATTTAGAATAATTTTTTAATTTTTTATAAAAAGATGTATAAAAAATAGAGAAAAAGGAAAATGTTTGATTTTTTGGTATAAGTTGTTGGCTTTTTGATTTTTTTAGTAATTTTTTGATTTTTAAACTAAAAAGTGATGTTACCAAACGAGACCTTAGTGCATAATTCGTTCGGCGTATGTTATTTAAAAATAATAATAAATAAAGTGACTACATGTCATTGGCCAGACATACTATCACATTAAAATTTTCTACCTTTTTATAATTTTTGTTGGACATAAAAAAATGAGAGCAAAAGGGTTAAGTAATAAAATTTGAATTTTTAAAATTTAAATGACATGCAAAATATATTTTTCTTTTAGAAAAAGGACAGAAGAGAGATTCAATATCAGATCATACCAAATAATAATAATAATAATAATAATACAAGCTATTACCTGTCTACTTTGGTAGATTGGAAGGTCTACTTGGACTTATGGAACTCATCACTGGTATCATTTTAATGATATGAGTTATTCATTTTATTGACGCATGTAGACTATACACAAAAAATATTAACTTGATCTGTAAATCATAATCATATTATTTCATGATATTCGTCATCATAAAAACTAGTTATGTTTTCAATATCATACTTTACTTTCTATTTTTTTAAGAAAAAAAGATGAATTAAAAATTACAATTATTATATCAATTAAGTTTTTTCAGAAATATTTTGTACACAATGACTTTTTTTTTGAACAGCAAACAAAGGAAATTTATAAATATTAAACACAATTACATCAGAAGCATCCAAGCATAGCAAATTGAAACCAAACAAAATTGGCACCAATAAGCTAGCCCAAACATCCGCTAGCAATACAACAGTTGGTGAGAAACCAATCAGAAGATAACTAACCAGAACCAGTAAAACAAAAAAGACCGCATAGCACCACCTAAAAAACCCAGAAAGAAACATCAGGCCAACCAAAATAGAGGAGAAAACACCAGCAAGTAGCACCAATAAGCTACCAACAGCAGGCACCAGAAAGTAGCACCAAACAGATGAGAAAAACACTAGCAAGCAGCAGTCGGGTGAGAACACACCAACAAAATAGATCAAAAAACAGGGCAACAAGACATGCACATATTCAAACTAATCTGCTTGCAAGTTAACCAAAAACTCATCACCACCAGAACAACACAAGAATGATATCAGCATCGATCATCACCAGAAGACAGCACCAATCAGAAGAGAAGAGAAGGCTAAGAACACACCAGCAAGCAGCACACAGAGGAGAAAAAAAACAGGCACAGATTCAACCTATCCTTCTTCTACAAAACTTAATTTTGTTGTAAGTTAAACCAAAAATCATTGACAAAGAAAGGCAGCCTCGGATCAGAAGCTCTAACCCACATAGCAACCCTAGTTTTAATTAGGTCACAAAAACCATACAGATCTGGTTGCAGATCAAAAAATAACACCTCATTCCTATGTTTCCAAATGGACCACAAGGAAGCAATAGGTAAAACATTCCAGACTTTTCTCTCAAAACTATTACCCAAAAATCCAGCCCAAAACTGTAAAACTCCATCCACTGTTGCCGGCATAACCCATTGAGACCCCCACCAGAGAAAGATATCAGCCCAAACCCTCCAGACAAAAGGACACCATAACAAAACATGATTGATCGACTCTGCTTCATCTTTGCAAAACACACATTGGATATTAGCAGTAGCAGGAACGACACCAATCCGATGAAGGAAAGAGGATGTTTTTAGCCTTTGTCTCCAAGCTAGCCACACAAAAGCTTTTGCTTTAGGTGTAGAAACATTCTGCCAAATCATCTTGGAGATAGTACCATAATCAGTAGATTACAAACTGTTTTCACACCACCTATAGGCAGATGATATGCTGAAACAACTAGAGTTTTCAGCCCCCCAACAAAAAACATCAACCTTATTAGCTCTCAACTCACGAGTGTTATTAACCAAAGTAACCAAACGAGCCACCTCTTCTTTTTCCCAAGCTCAAAGCATTCTATTAAAGCATTCCTCCCACTCATGTAGGCTCATTCTTAATTCAATCACTTGCTTAACCGATTTCAGTTTATTAGGAGAGATACTTATAGTTGAGGAAAATCATCTTTTAGACACCTATCACCAGCCCACTTATCCTCCCAGAAAAGAGTTCTATCTCCATTACCAACTGATATGAAAGTATTGCTAATAAAGAAACTGTGCAGGGCAAGGTTGAAAGCTGCCACAGAGAGTATATCCTTCCATAACCGGAAATGCATCTGGGAGGCTTCCGTATTTGGGTACCACTTGTTGCCTTGAATGTTATATTTCCCACATAAAACTTTCTTCCACAGCAAATTGTCATCTCTGCCAAACCTCCACCACCACTTTAGTAGCAGGCAAGCATTTACACCCCTAAGGCTCTTAATGCCTAACCCACATTTAATAACATTTCTAGTGACTTCAAACCATTTAACCATGTGTATCTTTGTTGGCTACATATTTTGTACAAGCCAATCACAGTGCTTTAGGTGTAGAAACATTCTGCCAAATCATCTTGGAGATAGTACCATAATCAGTAGATTACAAACTGTTTTCACACCACCTATAGGCAGATGATATGCTGAAACAACCAGAGTTTTCAGCCCCCCAACAAAAAACATCAACCTTATCAGCTCTCAACTCACGAGTGTTATTAACCAAAGTAACCAAACGAGCCACCTCTTTTTTTTCCCAAGCTCGAAGCATTCTATTAAAGCATTCCTCCCACTCATGTAGGCTCATTCTTAATTCAATCACTTGCTTAACTGATTTCAGTTTATTAGGAAAGATACTTATAGTTGAGGAAAATCATCTTTTAGACACCTATCACCAGCCCACTTATCCTCCCAGAAAAGAGTTCTATCGCCATTACCAACTGATATGAAAGTATTGCTAATAAAGAAACTGTGCAGGGCAAGGTTGAAAGCTGCCACAGAGAGTATATCCTTCCATAACCGGAAATGCATCTGGGAGGCTTCCGTATTTGGGTACCACTTGTTGCCTTGAATGTTATATTTCCCACATAAAACTTTCTTCCACAGCAAATTGTCATCTCTGCCAAACCTCCACCACCACTTTAGTAGCAGGCAAGCATTTACACCCCTAAGGCTCTTGATGCCTAACCCACCTTTAATAACACTTCTAGTGACTTCAAACCATTTAACCATGTGTATCTTTGTTGGCTACATATTTTGTACGGGAAAACAATTCAAATCTTCAATCATAATCACACACGTGGTAGTCAGCATTGGTTTGTTATAGATCTGTGTAACACTGAATCAACAAAGAGATGCAACATGACGTGGCCTTAACGGTTACTCACATATTTAAATTCAAAATCAGGAGGGAAGCCTAACTGCATATGACATAGTGGAGCTAATTGCAAGGAAGCATAATCAGTGATCATGGAGAGATGGTTCGACAGTTAGAAGTCCATTTCGACGGTTGTCATTAAGAAGTATAAATAGCAGAGAAGGATTGGAAAAACCCCCAGACTCAGATCCAAAAAACAAGTTTTATTCTATTTTATTTCCTTTCCAATTTTACATTTCTTGTTCTTTACATTTCTGTACTTCAAATTCCCGCACTGCATTTCGTTCATAAGAGTAGTTTTCAAGTAGCTTGTTGCTGTAAACCTCTATGAGGCTGATTTGGATCTTTGTAAGTCTTTCATTTTGCTTAATAAAATACTACAATTGTTCTTCATTTAATCATTGTTTGCTTAATTCTCCTAAACAAGCCACCAGTAAAATTTCTCTTCATTGAGGCTGAAATAACTAAAACACAATCGTCTAGTAATTGGTTGGTAATTAATATTCTGTAAGGACTGATTGATCCTTACTGGCACGCTCATAATTACAAAAATAACTTTCGAAAGCCAAAAAGCCAACATATATTTTTGGCACGCCCGATGGGACTAATTGAAATGGCTAGACATAGGAGACAAGGAGAAAATGAACGTTTGGAAGAAGGTGTGGAAGGAAAGGTAGAAATGCCTAATCCAGAAGATAATGTGATAACACATCCTGTGGAAACGCTTATTGTATCAAAACCTATAGTCGAACAGACCAGCACTTTGGAACAAGTACCACATGTTCATAACATTGGACGAGGCCAAGGAATTGGACCATCCACTGTTCCATCTACTCAGCCAATGAACCCATGGGGGGCCCTAGTAGATACTATGGGACAGCCGTTAATCAACACAATGGAAAGATGGACAACATCCTTTTTGGATCGAATAAATACTCATTAACCAACTAACGCAAGACATATAGAGGAAAATTCAAATGTCCCTTAGCAAAGATTGGCTAGAGATAAACAGCCTATGCGGAGTAATGGACATACTAATGGTCAAACTAGTAACCAAAACAATGAAAGACCATCACCTCAGTCTTAGTATGAGCCTCTTTCGAGGCCTGTGGCAAATCAAAATGCCTCCTTACTCAACAATGAAGCCATGCAAATTGGTGGATCTGGTCCAATATAGGAAAATGGCATAAGGATGTTTCCAAATCCCATGTTCGAAGCCATACTTGGTACGAGGGGGTTCACTAATCCTTTGTTCGAATTTATATCTGAGGGTTTGGAAGGGTTTCCTGCAATTGGAAGAGGCACAACACCTGCTCCAGCACCTTTCGCGGGTCCTTTCGCAGGACAGTCTCAAAGGGGTCACTTATACCCTCAACAACAGCCAGCACCACAGGGACAACCAGTCCCAAACATACCACCCTATGGACCAAGAGAACCCCAGGCACAAGGTTGTCACCCAAATCCTGTGTTTGTTCCTCCAATAGTGGTTCAACAGGCACAAAATATGGTCCCTAAGGACCAAATTGCTAATATTGTTAAAGAGATGTGTGGACCAATAGCCCGGGGGGTTCAGACTTCTGTGTATAGGAAACCGTACCCAAAATGGATAGATAGGGTACATGAATACCTAAGAGGTTTCAGGATACCAGACTTTGCCCTTTTTTATGGGAATGGAAACCAGTCAACGGTTGAACATATTGCTAGGTTCGCGGCTCTATGCAGTGAATTTACCAATAATGACTATATGAAGTTAAGATTATTTCCAAATTCTCTAAGTGGGGGAGCCTTTGTATGGTATATAAATCTTACACCTGGCTTTATCCAAACTTGGCAACAAATAGAGGAGGTATTTCATGCCAAATTCTTCCAAACAGAGCCAGAAGTGTCCATGGTAGACTTGGCAAGATTAATTGAGTCAAAGGTCTGATGAGAAGGCTACTCAGTTTATTGCCAAATTCAAAAGAGCACGAAACAAATGTAGGATCATCTTACCGGAGCCTGAATTTGTGAGGTTGTCTCAAAATGGTCTCGAGTTTAGGCTTCGAAAAAAGTTTGACTCAATTGAGTTTAGAGACTTGGTGGAACTAACCTATAAGGTGTCTAGGTATGAGGCATTACTAGAGGAAGAGCAAGATCAAAGTAATGCATCATACAAGACGTATTATAGAGATCCTAATTATGAAATTGATGCGGCTTAGATTGTGGGAAAAGAACCTGTGATCTGTGAAACATTAATTCATAAAGACACAACAATAGACCAGCAGTTCAAAAAGAAAGACCTTCATAGGAAATACTCTTTCGATTTAACAAAGGCAGAGGGCATTTTTGATCATTTGCTTGCGGCAAACTTTTTGAAGTTACCTAAAGAAGTCAAAATTCCATCTCTAGAGGAACTTAAAGGAAAAGTGTATTGTAAATGGCATAATTCTTGGTCTCACTCAACTAAAAACTGCATTTTTCGAGACAGGATCCAAGATCAGATTCGAAAAGGGAGTTTAAAATTTCTAGCTAAAGTAGAAAAGGCCATGGGGATTGACACTAATCCATTTTCAAAAGAGCACGAAACAAATGTAGGATCATCTTACCGGAGCCTGAATTTGTGAGGTTGTCTCAAAATGGTCTCGAGTTTAGGCTTCGAAAAAAGTTTGACTCAATTGAGTTTAGAGACTTGGTGGAACTAACCTATAAGGTGTCTAGGTATGAGGCATTACTAGAGGAAGAGCAAGATCAAAGTAATGCATCATACAAGACGTATTATAGAGATCCTAATTATGAAATTGATGCGGCAGAGATTGTGGGAAAAGAACCTGTGATCTGTGAAACATTAATTCATAAAGACACAACAATAGACCAGCATTTCAAAAAGAAAGACCTTCATAGGAAATACTCTTTCGATTTAACAAAGGCAGATGGCATTTTTTATCATTTGCTTGCGGCAAAATTTTTGAAGTTACCTAAAGGAGTCAAAATTCCATCTCTAGAGGAACTTAAAGGAAAAGTGTATTGTAAATGGCATAATTCTTGGTCTCACTCAACTAAAAACTGCATTGTTTTTCGAGACAGGATCCAAGAGCAGATTCGAAAAGGGAGTTTAAAATTTCTAGCTAAAGTAGAAAAGGCCATGGGGATTGACACTAATCCATTCCCAGAAATTGGAGAAATGGCAACCAATGTTATTGTACCAGAGTTCCAGAACTTGTCTTTAAAAGAATTAGAAGAGGTCAATGTGCAAATGCATATTGCCAGCCAAACTACTGTCAAAACAGATGCTAGAAGTTTACCAGTTGTTGGGCAAGGCTTTGCAGGTCAAAAGGAAGACTCTGATGAAGAGGCACTGGATGATGATTCTTTATAGGTGGCTATCGTGCAAAGAATGTGTCCCAGGTGTAGGTTGAGCTACAAGTGGTTGAAAGGGCTTCCGATTGATGGGAAGCAATATTACAAGGATGTGTAGAGGCATCCTAAATCAACTAGTGCCTATAATAAGAGACCATATCCAACTGGTACTAGACAGCAGTCATTCATGACTGAGCCAGCAGCCACGAGAATGCAGTCCAAGGGCAAGAGACCTTTACACGAATTCAGATCACTCAATTATTACAGAACGGAGGGCAAACACCCTAAGAGGAGACTTGAAGATGGGTTCGAATCATGGGATCAAAGGCAGAGATTGGCCCCCTAGACCAGCCTCATACAAAAAGGAAAATGGCCACCTTCATGGAAGGCCTGAACTAGGCCCAAAACAAGGGGTTAGAACCAAGCAGTGGTCCTCACAACCAGCTTCGAAATTGGCTTCAAAGGAAGAAAGAGGTAGTTCGATAACTGGGTCGGTAGGTTCATGGATACTTGGAGTTCCAGATTGGTTTGTCATGCAGAACAAACCTAGGGAAATACCTACCCAAAGAAATGTTGTCCGAGATCAGGGCAGGATGGTTAAACCCCCTTTGGTAGCTCCAAATAATTGGGTGTTACTAAAGCATCCAAAAACAAAGGAACCAGATATGGTTCTAGTGATCTCTAAACCTCAAAGGAGGAAGATCCAACGAAGGTATACTCAGTACCAGAAAGATCAGAAAGAAAGTGGAGAAAACTCTTTATTGGTCCAGCCAAAGGGCCAAGCAGAAGAAGGAAAAAGTTTAAAGTTAGATCATAATCCAAAATAGACTATTCAAGACAAGAGGAGTTGTAGTAAAGAGCAATTGGCCAAAGTTCATTCTGAACTGAAAGCCAAAGAGAGATCCAGTTTGGCAGGATTGGAAAAGGCTTTAATGGAAAGTGATAGTGAGATAGAGGAAGAGATTGGCTTAGGCCAAAAGAAGGAGATGGTTGAAGAAGAAATGTTTGAAGCCTTCATGGCTAAACAAACATTTTTGGTTGAAAAACCAGCAAAAACTGATCATTCGAAGGAATTTACGAGTACTGAAGTGCCAGAATGTAGCATGGAAGATGGTTCTGAAATAATTGAATAAGTTGGCCAGGAAGAGAAACAAGTACAGCCAGTCATCCAATTTGGCTCGTTTCCTCCAGTATCAGTAAATATGATACATATACAACCACAAGAATTCCAAGCTGAAGATGAGAATCAAGAAGGTCAAGAAATCGACCCAATTCCAGTTTTCAATGAAGACTCACAACTGAGTATGGTGCAAGATGAATCCGAAGTGGCCACACCTATGGAAACTGGAGATGAGAGTGAGGAAGAGGTGAGCATTAACCTTTCATACCCTTTTGAGTATCCCATGACATCCATGACACAACATGTCAAACCCTTGTATATCAAGGCCTTCTTCGATAGGATACAGATAAACCGAGTGTTGGTAGATAATGGGGCAGCAGTAAACCTGCTTCTGAAAGC